TTTCTCAAACATTAACTAATATTTTATTTTAAATAAATATTTTTAAAGTTAAACACAGTCAATAATTCACTTATAAGGAGTAGTGCGAAAGTACATATCTCGTATAATACGTGACATAATCTCGAGTCAAATAGCAATGAACCGAGATATTGACTTGAACGATGTAAATACACATATTCCTGATTTACTTATCTCTCTGTCTTTAGAAATAGAGTAAGTCTCACACATTTTTGACTGTCAGTTAACGCGTACTATGTGTGGCTCACACTAGGTCACAACTCAAGTATGCGGGGATTCCCCTCACGGCGTTCAATAGTCTATATAAGAACTCGACTGCTTCTGTGTTCACTGCTTGTGTGACAGTAACATTTATGATATTTGATGTTTCAGTAAGTGAATACATCGTAAAAAAGAAATAGCGCTATTTTATTCATTGACGAGAGAGGAAATATATTTATCAATCGCCATGTTTTCTTTATGGTTATGATGTGTACGTTTTCCTTTACCTAAAACTGAAGTGAGCAGTCAGTGTACAACACATGTTTGGGCGTTGGGCGACTGCACCCACTCAAAAGACAAAGTTTAGCATATCGGGCTATTCAATAAACACGTAACATCGAGCCTCGGATGCAGCATTTTATTCGAACGATGATATATTCTGCATTCTATTAAATTACGTATTGACCGCGTGATCTAATATATTCACGTTTATTTACACGTTTTGTATCGCAATGTTTGTGTTCTCAATATTACATTAAACTTTGCTGAATATACTGTAAAATATTTTTTAGCTATCATGTTATTTTAACTAATTTCGGTAATTCAAGATGTCACTTATTTAAGATAAAGTCTATTCTCACAATGAGTTTGTTGGCACTTTAGCTAAATTAAGATTCTGTTAATTAATGCATGTAGTCAAATTCGGAATAAGGCTTTTAAGATACGGAATAAATACAAAAACAAATCACACGCAATTCGGATTCGTAAAATTAATAAATGATTGTGATAGAGATTGTCACACCCAGTTACTTCCCTGTTCTGTCGGAAGCCATATACGGGGAAAGTGGGTTGGGCTCTCATCATGTAGTTGGAATTCCCCCAGCATAGTCTATGTAAGGTTTCGGTGGTGCATTGTTATTATGATTTCTAATTTGGAATGAATTCCATCTCTCGCTTTTATACAAACACTGACACTAGACATTGGATGAATGAAGATTTCTGCGAACAAGTTGATATTGAAATAATGCTTCACATATATGCGAGTTTATATTACGAACGCACTTTTAGCTTACGTCTGTTATTTGAAAAACATAATTTCTAGACATCCGTCAAAAAATCTAAGTGTGAAACTGACAGTGAATTGAAATATTTTTACATAGTCAGTCATGATGTCAACGTTTCAATCTGCGTACATTCTGGATTGTGACGTCATCCCCATATTTTCTAAAAAATGACTCATTTGACGACTTTGCAATACCTTTGTTCACAGTTTAGAATATTATTATTTCCGTTATATATCGATAATTTCAGACATTCACCAACTTGTGTTTTGTCGCATATACCGAATCCGCCCTTTTTTAATTATCCCCAACCTCACATTGGCAGCGCAAGGGATTAGTTCCCCGATATATCTGTCACCGAGCTGTCATAAAATATGTAAAAATCCGCCAATAGAATTCCTTCCAAAATTATTAAAATGTTACGAATACAAATGAATACCGAAGGCTTGGAACATATAAAAATTACTACACTCGTTGAATAAATCCGATATCACACGGTCACTCATTGTACATCTATGTCCATATGTGACATTCCTGTTTTGTAAAACAGATATATAGGAGACTTCACCATCAATCACGATGTCACGTGACAAATAATGCTTTTCGAAATATTTGTTCACACAGAGAGGCTAGTCATTCCAACTATAACAGACTTTCGCTTTACTTTTCCACAATTTAGAAAAAAATAGAATAGCGCATTGAAATTGCCATTAGATAGGAAGATGGTCACACAGCCCTGTCATGTAGTTCCATACACGAATATGACTTCTGTGGCAAAATGCACTATGTGTCACAAGTGCACGAGCACTTGCAATTTGCACTTACAAAAAAAAAAAGTCCGGAGAGACAACAGTGAAAAAATAATTATACAGTACAGATTTAAAACTATGTAAAGGTGAAAAAAATATCAATATTACATTTAAATGAAATGTCATTAAATAATGTCATACACCTTAAAAGTGATGAATGCTTCCTGCAGTTGACTGATCCACAGTCATGTTTAAAAAATAGTTTGCGTCTCAAACACATATTTAGAACATAAAAGTAAATATTGACAAGAATAGAAAGGCAGTCATAAGAAGAATTAACAAATTTGAATTTTATATAAAATAAGAAGATCAAGAATAGTTCTCCTATTAGATAAAAGTGGAATGTCAAAACGTTTGCAATAAATAGGATAACATGAAATACTACAATGCACACGTAATTTTTTACATAAATATTTAACAAATTTGAATTCCACATAGATGAGGGGACCACACCATAGAGCCATATTCAAGAACAGATATGACATAAACAAGATACAAAGAAATAATTACAGAAATATCATTAAAGCTATAACAAGAACGTTTAATAAAACCCATAGATTTTAAGGCTCTAGAAACAATAGAATTGATATGGCAGGTTAGAAGTCAAATAGACAGCCAAGTCTTTATGATGGAAACTTGCTGTAAAGGTATATCTTTGATAGAATAGTTATAGCTTGAAATAGGTGATAAATTTACACTTCTCTAAATTGAGTGATAATTTCCAAAGGTCGCACCACTCTACAAACTTATTAAGATCAGTTAGCAAAGTGTGACTGTCAGTTGGAGATGTAATAGACCTATACAGCATGGTATCGTCAGCGTAAATACTAGATTGGCAGAGATATCAGGGTAGGTGATGTTATTAATATACATAACAAAAAACAAAGGCCCCAGGAGTGACCCCTGTGGTACACCAGACAATGCGGGAAACCATTTAGACACGTGACCACCCGAAACTACACCCTGCTGCCTATAACTTGGGTACGATGATAACCAATGATGTAAACTACCGCAAATACCAAGTTTAAAGGCCTTGTGGAGTAGCAGTGGGTGGCACACAGTGTCGAAAGCGATTCAAATAACCATCAAGCATTATGAGAACTACTGTATTCACGTACTCGTAAAATGTTGTGGAAAGTCGAAAACCTTGTTAAAATTATAAACCAGTATACTAAAATGATTGATTTAGGGACATCATTAGGACAAGGTGTGTTCTTGAACCGGAAGGGCAAAATTATGCAATAAATTAACTAATAATCAGATTTTCTAAAATAATTGTATTTTCATTTTGAAACTATATTGTCATGAATCCGATTTCCTCGTCAGTTGGAATAAATTTTAAATTGTAATGAATATCAAATTTCCGATTTTGTCACGTTAATCTTTTCACCACCAGAATTGTTTCATATATTCTTTAATATTACTGGGAACGAGCCCTAATTTTGGAGCCAACTGACAAACGTTTTCACTCAAAACATTGGGCTATTTTTGCCCCAATTTTTTAAAGGAAAATGCAGACTATAAACGGGATAGGAAAATAGGGAACTGGTGGAGAAAAGGATAAACCACGATTTAAAAAAAAATGCCAATCTGATCAAACAATTATAGATAAATGTGAAAAATTTTGGTCTATAATTTTGGCGGGAAAACATGTCGTTCAGCTGAAAGTGTCAAAGTCTATTATGTGTAACAAATTAAGTTTTGCAATTGAACCATTAGAATGAATCTTTGATTTAAAGCGGGAGGATCGTCACCTGCGCACGCGCGAGAATTGAGTCCCAAGCGACGATAACAACACACGCTAAAAACGCAAAGTCTCATGGGTGGACGCTTGTTTGTAAACAATGACACGCTATGTTTATCTGACGCATGCGCAGGTTACAACTCCCCCGCTTTAAACTCTCAAATTGCGAACACAATTGTCCCGCCACGTTTTAACAAGGGCGACACAATAAACACAGAATAATAAGATTGACGTTTTAAAAAAACTAATGCAATAACTCAAACAAAGCTACATAAACAAATTACGAGATCAAACTGTAGTGTCAAACTCCATATCTTAATTTGTTCAGGTTGAAACAGTGGAAGTGGAAGAATGCTTAATGAGTTTGCAAATTAGGTCAAGAAATGTATATCGATTATAACCGAACTCTATTTCGTTTAGTTGTGCGATAGATAGTATTGTCTGACAGACACACAGAAACATTCTTCTATGCACGATACGTTCAGCTATAATACCACATTTGTTAACGTTGGAAGAACGGTTAATTGAAGGTCAAAGTAACATCTTTAAACTCTACATTTACTGGTACCACCCATAACAATGACTCATCACAGACGCTAAAGGTGAAATGAACAACGTCATCCATGTTTAGCCTAAACTCGTAAAAGGTTTATCAACTAAATCGAACATTTGTTGAAATGACTTCATACACAACACATAAACATATGCATTTTCGGTTTCAAGACAACTGCCACCCCCTCTGGCGGATATTTACCCCCCATCCCACTGTGTTAAAACTCCACAAAAGTATTAATTTTCAGCCAAAGCATTTTTTTAGTGGGGTGCAGTATTATTTACTAAAGAGTTCACGATCCATTGACCCCCTACTACTAAATCCATTGAAACAATAGTACACACTTAATCGTTAACGAGACATAACATCAATGACACAATATCAAAGAACACAATGTCTGAACAAATTACCAATATTATTGTTCTTTTAATATAGCAAACCATGGTTTGTAAGTGAATAATGCATTCCTCTGATTCCCTGCATGGTGACGTCAATAGCTAATCAGGTCGATGATGACCGGGGATAGTCCCTTAGAAGTAAATATAACCTAGTATTGGGAGCCTATAAAAACCAGTTAGCTCTCGCTTTTCTTTTAGACAAACATTGCTCAATTACAGGTGGTTGTTACTCTACAAGTGCAAAATGATTCCAACGTTGGTGTTTCTTTGGATGGAAGGAATGATCTGTCTGTTTGTATCAATATTTCTAGGTAAGCTATGTGTTTGGCATTTTAAACACGAACTTCTTAAAGTTTTATTGCCATCGACATTCTGTTTAATGCTTAGGGCATGTTAAAGAGCGGTAGTCGTTGCTCCGCGTCCTGTTCGATACGGGAATCAGAGCAACGTATACAACGAGTGTAAAATACATTGTTTGTTTACATGAAATTCGAACAGGTGCTGTGCGACGACTACCTTTAAGTAATACGTGTATGCGCAATATAATGAAAGCAATAGTTTCGGTTATTCGCAAAACATCTGTGTTTTTGCAGATAGCATAAATCATTTCCATGGATTCATTTCTGATTGAGTTTTCAGCTCTGTTTTGTCATGACGTCACCGAGTTTTTTGTTCGACGACCAAAGCCTGCAGGCCATTAGCCAGGAATTTGCAACTGCCAGTCCCCCAAAAAATCAACATCATGAAAATGTAGATGGTTTTGGATAGATTTTGGTAAAATTATCAAACAACAATTGGGAAAAAAACAAAACAGAAAAATGGGAAAAAGTTGCCAGTCCAAAATCAAAGTTGTCTGTCCGTTTGGTGGGTCGACTGGTGGTGGCTGGCTATTCATGTTATCGCAGCATCTGGGCGAAATTACGTACGTGTTTGTCGATCCCCATGCGCAGGTGACGACTCCCCTGCTTTATTTGACCCCAGAAGTATACTACTTCTTTCTCTCATTTGCAATTTACACATAGCTATGAAGACCAGTTTAAAACGTGGGAGTCGTCACCTGCGCATGCGTCAGATGGCCATAGCGTGTCGATGTTTACAAACAAGCGTTAACCCATGATCCTTTGCGTTTTTACCGTGTGTTGTTATCGTCGCTTGGGACTCAATTCCCGCGCGTGCGCAGGTGACGACCCTCCCGCTTTAAATTTAGATTTCATGAGAACCCACACTATAAAGCAACACGACTAAAACAAATAATTACTCACATCCCTGTAATTAACAAATTTTAGAATCATATTTTTTGTTGCATTCAACAGTAGCTGCCGGGACAAGGGCTGATTTAACACCCAAACGTCCACTCAGGCTAGCACCTGACAATGTTGTCTACACGGCAACTCTCAATCGTCCATTCACTATGGCGGTGTCCATGGCAGTCGATAGACTGCGTAGAACGGATGATATCATAGTGGGGGTGGAGGATGCAGACAGTGTGTTAATTCGCAGATACAGCGACAGAGACGATAAAGAATCGTGCACACCCAGCAACTGCGTGTTTGTGCACCGCAGCAGGAAGCACGTTACAGTGGAATTCCAGCTATTGAATGTGAAAGAGCCGGATTTAGGCCCCCGGCGAATTGACATTTTGATCAAACCGAGGATGAAACGGAGAAATATGACTCATGGCATTGGACATTTTACCTTACAGACGAATGGTAAGGATCTCCCACAATTCAAAGTTATAAAGCGCGGTAGTCTCGCGCTGCGCAAGTGCGACATTTGTGTTGATAAACATTGATTTCCCACAATCCAATGCGTTCTTCAAATGGAAATCACAAGTATGAGGTTTGACCTGGGCGCGTCTTGCACTGATTACCGACGGTGACTCCTTCGATACCTTCCAATCACATGAAAATTGCCTAATTAAAGCTTGGAAACGTCTCAGTTTGTACTCGTTGATCAGTCAAAGTCGCCACCTTTGTTTATATGAGACCCACATATCTCGCACATGCGCAGCGCGATGACTACCGCGCTTTAATATACCATATACAGTAACACGACTTGTTAAGGCCACCGGCGTGACGATCGGTCATATTTTTTTATTTTAATTTTACCTTTATTCTTTGTTCACAGAAACCGAAAAGAAACGTTCCTGTTTATAACTGGGGCACACGTAATTGCACTACAAAGCTGTTACAGGCCATGGGTTATGTTATGATCACCATCGTAAGGAGATTTGACTTAAAAAAACAAAAAAACAGTATTATAAAAAAAAAACATTCGTGAAAAGCCAGTGAGTGGTTAAAGCGAGGGAGTCGTCACCTGCGCATGCGTCAGATGGCCATAGCGTGTCATTTTTTACGAACAAGCGTCTACCCATGAACCTTTGCGTTTTTAGCGTGTGTTTTTATCGTCGCTTGGGACTCAATTCCCGCGCGTGCGCAAGTGACGACCCTCCCGCTTTAACTCCAACTCCTTCAAAGGAGCATTAAAGTCCGTGTGCATGGAACTAATTCATGATATTCATTGAGTATTACAATGTGTTTTTAGAAGTAGCATGTATTCCCTGTCTAATATTTACTATTATACTAACGATAGTTCCAGTATGTCGAAGTTCGACTTTGTCAAAATCTGCACATAAAGTCAATGCAATGAGGAGCTCAAGAAGACAAACAAGCTGACTATTGTTGTGGCCTGAGATGCAACGATCAATGCAATAAAAATGTAAATTGTGATTTAGGCCAGTTAAAAATGTGCGCCGATTTTAGGAAACAAATTGGCAAGATATATTATCTTAAAGGGCGGTGGTCGTCGCGCCGCGTTCTATTCGATATGGGACTCAAAGCGACGTATACAACGCCAGTACATGAAATTCGAACACGCGCTGCACGACGAACACCGCCATTTAAACTTTGCTGTATATACACTGTATATTTACTCATATTTATGTAATTTTTGCACAAGGTGTAAATGTTGAAACACTATTTTTTTTTTCGTGAATATAATTTCATAAGTGTGAATATTGTGTACATATTATATTTATATTAAATTAATTTATACTATTTTTAATTTATTATTATTTATTCACTTTTTACTAATTTACGTACAGGGAATCGAAGATACATAAATTATCGTACAGCCATACAAACTTGTTGTATCGTGATACGACCAACCGTTGTATTTGTTTAAACATCGACTTAGATATTTACAGTTTATATGAAAGAACATTACAACATTTTCAACTATACAAATTTTAAGCTTCGTACATATACATAATCTTAAATGTTCGACTGCATAGGCAAAACACACGTCCTGCCATGGAAAAATATTTCCATAATATTAATCGAGGTTGGAGACTGATATTTAATTATTATGATATTATACAATACTGGAACGTTAACTACCGTGGCCTCGCTTATTACTGTGATCTCGAAATGGCTTTGAAAATAGGTGAAGCACATTTAAGCGACCTGAAAGCTTGCAGTGACGACATTAGGTTTTTCCCAAGAATGAATGACTGACTGGAAATTCCCGAATAGGAAGTAAGAACTATACAAGAGGCTATTTATATTACACACAAGCAAAATAACAGGATATAATCAGAAACTGTCAATATTTATTACCACACTCATTCCCTATAATCTCTCTACAATATATACATATAAAGTTGGTTCCCTTGGCAACAGGTGTCTGTCAGTACTGCCCCGCGTTGGCGTCCGCCATTTTTTTTACTGACCTTGGTGACCTCGATAGAATATGTCATTTCTTCCGCCAGTAGTCGACCAATTTCATCCTATTTTGTCTTGCCAGTCAGATCTGAATACTCCCAGTGTCCTGAGTGCCCAATCGTCGCGATGTTCCGACTTACAGAATTGTATATTGTGTGTAATAAATGAAACACCACAACCCGTGTTGACGAAAAAATGACAGTCATTGACCGAGACTCCACTGATTCGATTAAAAGGGAAGTTATGCATTCTATACAAAGTCATGCGGCGTGGGCAGCACTATATCCAATCTTCACGAGCGATTACCAAGTTAAGACGAACATTCGATTGACAACAATTAACCTATTTTGTTGTAGCTGTTCTAAAAACCGAGACGTACACACAGTTCCTAATGAGGTCAAGGGTTATCAGTGTGCATGCGCGTTGTCAGTGTAAGAAAAGACGTGCTCCCGGTTTATCCCCCGTTTTACCGCAATAGAATCGTAAACATTGCACAAATGTCAGATAATCAAACGACTTTGTTAAATTATAACACAGCTGCTGAATAACTTTGAACACTAGTGTCATAACTGGATTCATAACAGTGGCGGCAGCACATGGAGGGGGGGGGGGGGCAGAGGCCCGGTCGCCCCCTCGAAAATCAAGCTGAAGCCTTTTGTGTCAGCAAACGTCGCCCCTCAAATTGCAGGAAATAGCGTTTCAGAGGATCTAGATTTCAAAATTTCTAAGGGAAAGTATGCTCCTGGATCCCCCTAGTGAACAGATCTCGCCCCTTCATGCAACATTTGGTGCCGCCACCTCAGCATAAACACCATTACGTGTTAACTACGTCAGACAAGCATGTCGAGTTCGTCATGTTCATTTGAAATACAACAACACAAGGCCAGTCTATAAACATAGCCCACAACGATTAGTTTAGCCATATTCAATATATTCACGGTGCATCTATACGTTTCCTAAGTATATTGAGTCCATGATCTATAATATCACTATTGTATCATACACGTTTGTTAAAACGCTGTTCCGTAATTAATGACTTATAAACTAGAAAATCATGTTTACACAGTCAGAAATATATTTGACTACCCAGCTTAACGAAATAACTATCTTACAACTTATTCTTACTGAAAGTTATCGAACAAGATTTCGAGACACGGGACTCTTAACCGACGGTAAATTGAATGAAATTCATTTTTTATGAATATTTAACTCCTGATTTAAATATATCATACTTTTGTACATTTTTTTAAAATAGTAAACACTTTAATTACACTGTGATCAGTAAAGTGAAATATATTTTTGATGTCAGCCAGCTATCTCAATGATGCATGTTAATTGTTTTTTGTAATATGCTGGCCATTCGCTCTTGTAGGATAACGTTCGTTATTGCCTTCTCTTTCGTTCACGTTCGTTCAGTCCTTTCAATGCCTTCATATTGATCGCAAACATAAATGATACTTGTTCTTATGGCCGAGAAAAATGCATTCACTGCATACAGGCATTAATACAAATTAAATACACACGAGAATACTGAAACTGACATAATATTCATGACTATTCCCGTAAAATAGTAATTATTTAATTAACATTAATTATTGTTTAGGTGTATGCGAGTGTTTGCAATGGAACCCCTGACTATTAGCAGTTTAGTTGGTGATATGCTTCGCGTTGCATTGAAATTAGGCTCCGTGTACAACGTATACAACATGTAAAATACAAAATTGTTTTACTTGGAATTCTAATGCGCAACAATTAATTAATCAGTACACGAGATTCATGTAATCCCGAATTTTACGATAACAGCGTATGTCGCTTAGAAGTTTTGATAATGTGCAATAATGGTTACACATATCCATATACATGTACATTTCAAAACATGCGATTTTGTCAGATTCATGGATAGAAAGGTTGTAGCAGAGTATCTATCATATTGTAAGCTTTTCGAGTATTAATGAGTATTATTATTTCGAGTATTAAGTATCTATGCAACAGTCGTTCCCATGATTACATTGATTAATAAAACTGTTTTTTTTTCATTAAAATTCGCTTTCTCGCGTCTCTGGGCATATACTCGGAAAACAAAAAAATGTTTGATCCAAATCACCTGGAAAGCTAGTCCTATCGATCTTGCGTTTTCAAAAAAATAAAACAAAGCCAACCAGGTAAAAAAAACGATCAATTTTCGTCCAAACTTCATGAAGTTTTAGATAATAAAGTTTATGGCAAACTGCCGGTAATAATGACCAAAGGAGGTAAGACATTAAATTTCTAAAACAAAATCATATGTATGGTATATAAAAATCATGTAAATCCTGAACTGGAATTGTTAAATATAGCGTTTTATTTATATAATATCAAGTGGCTAACTGGCAAGGTTAACGTGCCATAAAGAGCAGAAGTAAAGTTTTTTTTAAAGAATATATCAAGAAATATTACGTCACAACAACGTCATTAATTGTATTCTTTGTTAATCGGTGTGGGAGGCGGCAAATAATTACAATTAGTTATGCATAAATCTACTTGTTGAAATTCAGAGGCGTTCCCAAAGTACCTTTCGCCATGATGTCACGTGTTCAGAGTAAACTACATAAAAATAAGAGAAGTTTACCCAAATAAATCAGATCGCCCTGGTATCGTGGTCATGGCGTTTCACTTAGCATTTGGTGTTTATGTGATCGCTTTTATAGGTGAGTACTATGTACCATTTCAGCATTCAATTCACCCGTGGGGCGCTTTCTCTTTTTTTGTTATCATTTTTGTCTCTACGTATAAATTTGTATCAATTGCGTGACTCGTCTTATGACAAAAAAAAAAAAAAAAAACGTTCGATATTATTTATTATCCTGGGTATTCAATTAAAGCATCTAGAAAAACATGATTGAGAAATATAAAATAAATCCTAAAACGAACATGTCGAATTCAAAACTAGCTTTGCGATTCAGAACTTGTATATTAATATCACGCTGCGATAGAAGAGAACCTTTTAAAATATTGTTTGTTCCGTCAATTGCAGAAGTTAATTTAGAAAAAAAACAACGCAGTTACTCGTAGACTACAACGAGAGAGAGGTTTCTTATTTGATAGTTGTATGCTACATTTTAAGATAGACATTATTCAAAACACACTGAACCAATCGAATTTACCGTCTTGAATAATTGACTTAAATATTAAAAATTAAATTGGTCTGTCATTTCAACACATCGCGTTCGTGACAAACTGCATTTTCCATAGTAATAATATTACATACGAAACCACATGACGCTCTTCTCTCTGGTGGTCGCCATGGCACTGCGATATGGCTGACAGACCCATAAACTCTGCTTTCGGTTATCTCAAGCAATGCTGTCGTCTCTATTTAATCAAAATACAATACTATTTTAAATACATCAGTGTATCAGTGTCATGAATTCATCATTATCATTGGACGAGACCATTTTTAATGTATGCGAGTCATGGTCACGTGACATAATGCACAGCGGCACCCATGATCTTCTAATTTAGGTCTTAAATTACAATAAGCAAAAATTAATAATAAAGTTTGGTTTTAAATATGTTTTATTCTGGAAAAAGGAACTGAAAAGTTAAACATTTAGATATACAGGAAGTGTGATTACAACGGGAGGTGACTTTATTTAGTAAGCCAAACTAAAGTAATACACTGTCGTCTGCTCTGGTACCTACGAGCGTGCATGACTGCTTCCAAGGTCAGTGCTTGCGCGATTTAGTGTGTACGGCGTTGTTCGAAAACATTTTTGAAATATGTTTATTATAAATGCATTAAATCAATTGAATTCATTGCAAAACAAAAAAACAAACAAAATTTTGACCATGGTTGTCGTAATCGTAATGTTATAATTCATGCCATGTATGCGCTGTTGCAAGTTACTTTTCTTTCCCCAACATTTTTCTCATGTTTCTGTAGTACTTTGAACCCGAAACGGTTTTCTCTTCGAGGTCAATTCTGAATTTTGTGAGAATTAAGTCGGGTGAAAACATGAATGAAAATTTAGTCAAACGAGACTCGTGCTAACATGCATAAAAAACATATACTCTTTTATATGGGATCCTGTGAACAGCATCCGTAACATACGTAGATTCATTGAAATAATGACGTATGTTGTGACGTAATAATTTTATCATTCAATTACAATGCATGCAATCAAAACACAGTTAAATCAAACAAAACCAAAAAAAAAATAGTCAACACTTGAGGGCGTTATTCACATTCGATAACAGCATCAGTGACCGTTGAGGAAGATTAAAACTACGTATTCTGAGGGCGCTGCCACTAAAAAAATAAGCGCCCAGTTCAACTGTCGATGACAGGCAATAACCAAACCACACCACTCACGTAACAATAATTGTAGTGATGATTGAAGAGACTACACTTTTTCACTGTGTCTCAATGATATACTAAGTTAAAATAATACCAAACATACAAAGAATGTAATAACTAATTTAGGTGCTGAATAAAATAGTTATCGAGACACATGATATGTTGACTGGATGTTAAGCAGGGGAATCGTCACCTGCGCATGCGTCAGATAGCTATAGCGTTTCATTTTTCACAAACAAGCGTCTACCCGTGAGCCTTTGCGTTTTTAGCGTGTGTTGTTATCGTCGCTTGGGACTTAGATTTATTCCAAAAATGTGAGTAGATAATATTCTATTCGTGTACTTGTCATTTAGGTGGCGTATGCTTATACATACTAATCGGCAAAAAAAATGGTCCATAACAATCATCTTGGCATATTAAATATTAATTTACTTAAATAATGATATTATTCGAGTAAAATAATTATTAGAAAAAAATTTAAGGGAGAGATGCTTAATAAGGTTGCGCTTTCGGTGCGAGGTTGGTGAGCAGACCCCCCCCCCCCCTCCATGCAAAATTTCGTGCCGCCGCCTATGTCCTTACTAAACAAGACGACAGTTAGATTGGAACTCGGTATCACGGCTGCGCTCGTCAGCATATAAATTGTTGCAGAGACAAAATCCACCCCAGGCGATACGAAAAAACATTTTAGCAGACGATCGCCACAACGATAAAACACGCTATAATTCACGCTTAAGTTGTTACTCCTTAGTGTGTACATGTTCTTGTATACCTTCCTATAGGTTTGACCCACGACCGATGAAATTGATATGCGACACATCTTCTGAAATTAAACATGCGTTAGACGCTATACCATAAACAATAATAACTGATTGTACTGCTTAGTTGCACGACGGTGACCAGACACGAAAGGTTTTACCTGACGCACGGCAGAATTTGTAGTTCTTCACGCGTTTCAATAAATTTATAATACAAATTAGTCTTATTCTGTCAAAAAACAAGAAGCGGGCTTTTGAAAATGAATGTCATTCTGTCATTGGCATTTTGCCATTGATATTAGTGGCAACTTACTCTGCACCCACGACACATACTACAAGTCGTTTTGCGCTGCTCAAATAATTTTAGATACTCACGTTCTTTTTATTTATATTGCTGCTATAGAAGCCATACTGTTATATGGAGAGTCTTCAGCCGCTCTGGCAAAAGAATCCCAAACAGCAATAGCGGGTGATGCATCTGTTCATCTGCCATGTTATTACGATAAACCAGCTGGATCGGTAGACGTTGGCAATGTATGGCTGCAGTGGAGGAATGAAGAACTTATTCTCCTTGAACTGAAACTGTTTAGTTCAAGTTTGGCGAGTTATCTTAGTGTCGAAAAATACAGCGTTGACGATGATGGGCGCATGGTCATACACAATGTTACAATCGAAGACGAAGGAAAGTACTTGTGTCTGGTAAACTGGGATATGAAAGACTATTACATAACGCAGCAAACAGAAGTGAATTTGAGAGTGTTAAGTAAGTACCGCAATGTTTTTAATTGTTATTTTGTGACGGTTTATTCAGATAATTCAGGCTGGTATGCTGCGCATATTAATTAGGTATCTGTCAACCGCTTCCTAATACAAGTACACGAGCTGCAAGTCATAGAATTCTAAATGTGTTATGAGTCAAGCAGATAAAACGCATCTTAAATATTCGGAATTGAGGCATTCGAACATCTAATAACCTGAAACAAAAACTAGTAAAACTATTTGTTATCTTATTATCTGGGACCTTTACCTAAATATTCGATTTTGAATTGGAATAGTTTTCCTTTTTTTAAAGGGTTCACAGATTTGTTTGTGTGTGTGTTCATAAATTTGTTGAGTATGCACTCAAAGTATGCACTCAGACAGTACGCCGCGCATCGACCTCCGCTGCGCATCGGTCAATACTTCCGCTGTACTGTCTTCGTGCATACTTTGAGGTATTCATATTCAGATCCAGCCAAACCTGTACATGACTGAGATCGGAAATAATAGTTGGTTTTATCTCCTCACTGATGTTTTTAAAGCGAAAAATAAAGCAATACCATTCACACAATTTTACATTAGGAAGATTTGTAATATAAATTCTAAAACAAATTCAGGTGCTCTTTCCCTTTTGTCTTTTTACATACATAACTAACCGAAGTTCAAATTGCTTTTTGCAAACAAAAGTGCACCCTATGTACACAGGAGTGCTGTACGATGCACAACACAGTAGTTAGTAAGACATTACAGATCCCTCAATGTGTCTTACACTCCAGCCATTTCTTCTCGCGATACACTATAATGCAACAGTAGGTGATTTTCCGTTTAACTGCGAGATCTCGCGAGATGCATGAAAGACGAGCGTCGAACGTCTGCCGCAAAAATCGAACGATTTGATTTTAAACAGACAGAGGAATATTGCTTTCGAATACCCTTACTTAATTGAAATTGCATATCATCAAATGTGTACAGCACATTATTAAGCATGGAAATGTCCCCCAAAATATGTTCGCGTTTGTCGAATTCCACGCGATGATTGACGCCACTACGACGCTATGACCTTCGTTTGTCCTATTTTTACGTTCGATTTCACGCATAACGCGTGATTCTCGCAGTGAATGGAAAATGGTCTATTATATTAGCGATTCAAGTACAATTTTAAATGAGCACCATTAACTAATTATCAATTAACAATCTATTGGGCAATAAACACTGATCAATTAGGATCTAACTAACACGCACGCATTATAAGTTGATTCTCACATTCTTTAGATATCAACTGAGTATCAACTGTTCACTCTACAGGTCCAAAACGTGAAGTTTATCTACATTTAGAACCGTCCGGAAAGAGACAAAACGTAACACATGGCACAGCCATACAACTGGACCAGTCTAAGGACCACGTGATCGAATGTAGTGCAGCTAACGACGACAGAGAAACACAACTCGTATGGGACGTTCAACCGTCGATATTGAACACTGTAATCGTTTACGGCGAAGAGGATATAAAGACCAGTAGGCTGATAATACTGGCTGACAATGAAACAGGAATAATTACATGCACGTGTTCCTTGAACCGGCCTCCATTACCACCAATGACCACGAGCATCACAGTGGAATTGATAAAGCCATCTGAGAAAAAGACTAAAAGTAATTATTTCCACAATGTTTCTTAATTTTTTTTCAAATTCAAATTTATGTATTGATTTTTCCATGTCTCATTTCCATTAATTGCATTTTAGTTAATTAGTTTTGAAATTTATACCTGAAGTAATGACATGGTTTACATAGACAAAGATGTTTCAAGTAAAAAAGAAAATTCGCCCCTCCCCCTCGATGTATGTTGGTTTTCAGCTGGGAGCCAGCTAAACACGTTTTGGAACTTTCTCTTTTGTGTTACGTATACCACTAAAATAAAGATTTTCCGTTTCCGACATGGCAAATTCTTTCGTGTTTTTTTTCTGTGAAAACAATTGATTTTGATAAGAAAATTAAAAAATACGAAATGTATTTTTTATATTCACATCAATGATAATTTTCATAATCAGCGTTTACACAAGAATATTACAGAAATATATTCTCAATATATTTGCATTTTATTTGTCTTGAATTATGACAGAAAAAAGCTGAGTGAAATCACAAAATATGTGGAGTGCTCAACAGCTCACGTGAAGACTAACATAAATAAATTTGGTTTTGAAAATACTGTATATTTCTGCATAAAAACGAAGAAAAAATCACAATATCGAAAGCGAAAAGTCTTTATCGTTTTGTTCTATATGTTCACTCGGCGACTGTGCGTATAACCAACCAAATCATACATATTAATATATGTCAATATCAGCTGATACGGTTTTATTTGCATAAATATAATATAATAATTACTAAATATTATCTAATAAATATCATATGCATATCTAAACGGTTACTCTAATTGGCAGAAAATACAGAAAATAGACGGGATAGGAAAAAACGGCGACGTAGGCCAGCAGATTCATCCCATCCGAAACGACGACGTAAGCCAGCCAATTTACACCACAGAATGTCACCATTTACACTGTGACTACAGGACGATCCTTCACTATTCCCGTATCTGTTGAACTTGAATGTCGTCTGAAAAAGAGAGACTATATTACGGTACTAGTGGAACGAATGAATGGTGAACTGATTCAGAAATTCAGCGACAAAAAGGGGTACGGTCAATGTGAGGAAAACACCTGTATCTTCATCCATCGCGGGAGAAAACGTATCACTATTGAGTTTAAAATTTCAACAGTCCGTGAAGAAGACATTGGACCCGGACATGTGTCGATATCGGTGAATAGCAAACGTCACAAAACATCTACGTTGAAGGCCGAAGCGGACATGTATTACTCCCTGCAAACATAGTGAGTTCCTGTGCTTTATCGTATTGATTTAAAGGG